CCGGTCCGCGGGATTTCACGCGTATTATGTAGGGACTCTTGCTGTCCAGGTGTGAGATGATGGTCATCTCCACGGGACCCACATCGTAGGTGGTCCAGCGGTCGGAATCGTAGGGACTCTCATTGGGGGCGTAGAGCAGACGAAATCCCTGGACAGCTACCCGTCTTTTGGGGAGCCTTGAGCCTGCGCCCGAGCCTGTAGCCTGGTCCCCATCGGGCATACGCCAGGTCACCTTGATCTGGTGCTGGTTAATCCGAATTGCTTGAATGTCAACCGGTGGTGGTGGTGCTGTAGATGAGGAAAAAAACAATTGCATTCATTTTCTGATTTAAACGAGTATGTGCGTATGCAGATAGATGTATGCTTTTGACAGAAAAGATTCTTTCGGAAACGGGAACGAACTTTATTGCACATTTTCGACGCTAGCACACTAGGTAGTCGTCGGACTTGAGGGCAATGTGTGAAGAACAGTGCGCATTTTTAAACTTGCCGAAAAATCAATAATGATTCGTCACCCTTGGTCAATAGTAGGCACGTATACATGTACATCTATTAGCGGTAAAGAGGCGCGATCACCTGTCCGAAGTCGCCACGCATTCGCTTAAAACTGGGCGCACGTTTGCATGGGACCAAACCCGCATAGTACGTTCCTGCCCATATACGAAAGGCCGAGAGTTTTTAAAGGCCATGAATTCTAACGAATCATGCATCAATAGACACGTTGATTTGGATTTAGTGTACATAAAGTTAAAAAAAAAACTGGAAAAAGCGTCAACCACCAAAGCCTTCTATTGACCAAGGATGACGAATCATTATCGATTTTTCGGCACGGTTAAAAATGCGCACTGTTCTTCACACATTTCTCTCAAGTCCGACGACGACCTAGTGTGCTAGCGTTGAAAATGTAAATTAAAGTTTGTTCCTGTTTCCCAAAGAATCTTTTCTGTCAAATTATATTTCTTTGGATGCCTATTTTCAAATTCATAGATGTATGTATACAGTACGGCCTTACGTTCGTATACCATACTTTCTAGCTAATCGGCATTGAGTAAGGTTGTAATGCTGATTATCGCTAGGTCTATTCTGAATTCATTTCAGTCACGATAAGATGCCGGCTCTTTAACGAGCTTCTTTCTGACGGTTCGGTTCTAAAGTGCCGAAAAATTTTGAAAGGTACTGACTGCTACACTTGAACTCAAGGCCTAAAACCTGCGCGCTGTGTAGATCCCGTTTAAGGAAAAGTACGTTTTCGCCTACAGTTTGAGGAAGACGTCCCATAGATCTCATAAAATGTGGCAATAGATGTGGCTCATGCTGTATCCATTAAAAACAGCATTAATAAAATGACAGATAGGTTTTTACAAATTTAAACATTGAGTTTGCCGTCTGTGTAGACAAAATAAGAGAAGAGTTGAATAACCACGCTTTTTTCAAAAAAAAAACTGGTGACCCCAACTACTTCATCTTTGTCAAATATGCTGAGCAGCAAATCTCGCCAATTTGGTGCCCCAAAGACCAACAGGAATTTAATCTATTCTCCGTCCCGACCAAATTAATGTCTGAGTTTAGGTCTTTACTCCTGAAGAGCTATATAAATCAGTGCAACCTTGCATATAAGTGGATGGCTGATTTAAAAAGCTTCAATTTACGCTGAGACGCATACAGTACAGCGTCCAACGCAGTTGGGAACCACGAATTTAACATAACTGGCATCCAGAGCATTTATTAAACATTGGTTATTCGTTTGTGATCATTTATGGCTGAAAATGGTATCCACTAGAATGGCCTTCTGTATGTAGGATTGATCGGTTTCAATCAACATGGGCAAACCTAACATCGAGCACTGAAGATAGGCATGCGGTAACCAGGTTTACATAGCTAGTATTTCGTTTAACCCGTGGACTTCTCTCGGATGGATGGTTGATTGAGAAAGAATCACAGTTTGTCGTGCTTCTAAAATGTTCTTTAACTGAAGGCTGCAC